CCATGTGTATTGTGCAATGCTCAAAAAAATCCTAATAAAAAAAATAATAATCCCCAAAATCAGCCAAGGGCTTGGCCCCGGTAATTGCTCCAATTTACATTTGACTGTAAAAAATGACATGTAATTTTTAAATAATATTTAAACATTATTTTGTAATGTTATATTCATTAATTTACACCAATTTACATTTTACTGTGAAATTTACATTTTACTCTTCTGTAAAGCATTAAATGTCACAGACGGAGCACGTTGATAAATATTTATGGGTCTCTAGTAGACCATAGCAGTGATGAGAGAGAGATTGACTGAGCTGAGATTACGTGCATCTGATACAGCATTCATTCTTCATCTCAGTCTCATATTCACAATAAAACATTAGTTTGAATGTCCGCTGAGGAAAGCGATATCTTTGTCGTATTATCCTTTCATCTGTTAAGGGTGATTTCCGATGACAGTGCTGCTCAGTGCAATTGTTGGCTGCTTGTTGAAAGTAAAAATAGCTTCCTTGTTTAAACCGCGTTTCAGTTTCTTTCAATATAAAAGTACTGCTGACTCACTAATAAAAACAGACTCTTGTCGCCATCTAGTTTTCAGAACAATGTAACTAACCAACACTAACGTACACACACCGTTTCCCAATACTAAATACTATTATTAAATACTACTATTATTAATATGAATTAATATGCTGACGCCCTGGAGCTCACATCTCCAAAAATGTTGAAGCTAATTTTCGAATAGACGTTATCTTTATTAACAAACTGCATATTTGAAGTTTAAACAAGTACATTCTTGCCTAAGAAAAAAATTATTTTATAAAAACACATAGCTGCCTTTTTATTTTTGTAAGGATATGAGTTTAAAAAAAAACAAGATAAGAAGTGCGATGTATTTTTTTTAAGTCTTCAGCCTTCTGTGTCTCAATCCGCTCCCTAGTTCAGTAGTAAGTACACTACTTAGTGAGGTCAGCCATGTTCTTTTTGTTAGTAACTTACAGTACGTGTGACTGTAATTGAACTATAAATAATGAGTAGCATGTTGCTTGAAAAGGTACAGTTTCAAATCAGATCAGATCAGATATCTCGTCTTCTGTATTCGGTAGCAAAACCCGTGTCAACATCTAAACCACAGCAGAGTTAGAAATAACTGAATTTTCTTAGTGTGAGATTTATAAAGAGAGTTTAATGAAAACCATCAGATGATTTTGAGTAACAACATCAACATTTCAAAGAAGCGCTGGCAGATGTTTCGTGCTTCTGCGAATGATGTAAGATGTTTTTGGTCTTCAGGAGTCAGATGATGAGGATGGGACGCCAAAGAAGAAATGGCCCACGGTGGACGCCTCGTATTACGGCGGTCGAGGAGTCGGAGGAATTAAACGAATGGAGGTGGGATTCCTCAAAAGAGGAGATGCAATCTTAGAAAAATGTGTCATGTGATTATTACTGAAATAACAAATTCATAACACTCTCTGAACTTCACTAAATACAGTGTAGCTGTTGGAAGAATAATTGTCTTGTAGTGATTATATATAAGAAGTCTCTTCTGCTCACCAGGGCTGCATTTATTTGATCAAAAATACAGTAAAAATGTGAAATATTATTACAATTTAAAACAGCTGTATTTTATGTGAATCTCTGTTAAAATGTAATTTATTTCTTTGATCAAAGCTGTATTTTCAGCATCATGACTCTGAAGACTGCAGTAATGATGCTGAAAATACAGCTGCGCATCACAGAAATAAATTACATTTTACACTATATTAAAATAGAAAACAGCTGTTTTAAATTCTAATAATATTTCACATTTTTACTGTATTTTTTATCAAATAAATGCAGCCTTGGTGAGCAGAAATACATATATTTCAAAAATGTTTAAAATTTTAATTATTCCAAACTTTTGACTGGTAGTCTATATAATTTAATATACAGTATATATATGTGTGTGTGTGTGTGTGTGTGTGTGTGTGTGTGT